ACAGACAGACGGACGGACGACGGACGCATTACTATCGCATAAGCTCTTCTGGTCTCTGACCAGTAGAGCTAAAAATTAACATAAAATTAGTGTTAACCACTCTTCGTTAATTTTTTGCAGAATCTACTTTTGTGCGAGAACCAGTTTTCCCTTCGCGTCAACAAATCTATATATAGAAATCACGTCATTGTCAATTCTCCTTGTGTGGCTTACCAATTTAATAAGGCATAGTATTGAGGATCAATATATATACGACACACCGAAACTATAGATATTTATAAGTATCGTACTTCTTTTCTAAATTTTCCTTGGCTTTCAAATAGGCCTAAACCGAAAGTAGATCACACACTCCTCAGCTAGTTCTTCTAAAAGAAAACCAGTTTACAGGCTACTTGGAACTCTGTAAAACATCGAGGACTACCGAAAGATTAATGGAGGCTTACACTAGGACTTCACTTCCTGCATACAATCTCAATGTGTCATCTCCCGAGGGAGATGACAATGAGCATTTTTTCTTCATTTTACAGAAGGACTTTTTTAAAGAAATTGCACACAACCTTTTAGACGAATCTATAAAGAACTTCTGAAAGTAGAAAAAAGGTGATTTCCAAGTCATATATAAGAAAAATTATACGTCTTCTCACTAGATTTTTTGCTATTTTATTTTATACGTTTTTATTTATTAGGAAAATTACGTCGCATTTCTGCATTTGAAGTTTAAAATGCCTGCGACGTTATAAATACGACGTCAAATAATTGAACACCGCTTTATCTCTGATTGATAATATTATCATAAAAAATTAATGTTGAACGATGAAAGCTTTTATTTTTCCAAGAGAATTATTTACAGGGTGGCACAAATTTTCTTTTTACACCAATACATGATCGCAGAAATCAGCAGAAATGCAAAAGTGTGAAATAACTCTAAACTCGAACATGTACTTATTTTTTCAATCATAACATTGAATTAAACCTGATACTTTTCCGTGTGATAAGAAAATAAAGCTAACTTGACCCCTATGACATACGAGGTCGTCGTTATTATGACCAATGTTGCGTAATCATGTATGAAAGACTTGGGTATTGAATTTTTTATGTATTATTTGACCCGTAGAATACGGAAAGTTTCTCAACAACAGACTCGAGTTTTGTAATTTTCCCCCTCAATATAATCCTTATTCCTTCTGTTCCTGTCCGTTTGCTGGCCAAAGACATGTGCATCTCACTAATTCCTTGCGCAGCTATATTGCTGCTTTGTGATTTTGAAAGTACATTTTGGTCTATCAAGCGACTAAAACTTTCGAAAAACATTTTCTATTTTGTCAGGTTTTTATTATTTACTAGATTGGTGATTGATCGATTGTATATTGTTTAACGTCCCTTTCGAGAATTTTTCACTCATATGGAGACGCCACCACTTGCAATTGCCGATGGAGAGCTGCAAATTTTGTCTTATACTCGGCACTCAGGGTCATTGAGCAGGGAGGGATCTTTTTCGTGCCACCACCTTCTGCGACACGGGACCTCGGTTTATACTGTCTCATTCAAAGGACCGGTCTCGCAGTGGGATCCGAACCCGCGACGTAAGAATTGACTCCTTACTTCACGACTCTAGAGCAGACGCTCTAACCACTGCGCCACGCGGGCGACGATTATTTACTAGAACACTCTCGGTTGAAAATGAGTTCGCCATCAGTTTTTCATGAACGTCTGATACCTTTTTCAATTAATTATTCAATACATTTACGTCAACTTCTATATTATGCAATTGCAAGTTTTCATTCTGATCATCAATTAGATCTGTTTTCAGACCTTCAAATTTGTATGAGATTCTACCTGGGAATTCGTTTTTGGATAATGAATCCAGATATATCTTTCAAATGATCCTTCATTTTGAGCGTGCAGATGGTTGATACAAGAATGTGTGCATCAAACTTGGCGTTATGAGCAACCAGAAGCGGTGACTTGTGTTTTTTCAACCATACCAAGAATTCATCAATAGCACGTTTGCATGTTGTGGATTCAACTGGAATAAGGTTATAATACATGTTCAACCCAGGAGTTTCAATACCAGTAAGTTTTGACACTGTAGACGGAAAGAAACAGTTCTGTGGCATGATGAATCTCACAAAGTGATCAGAAGTCTTAAAATCTCTCGCTGCAATACGCAAGTTTCGAGATTATCTCCCTTGGTGGGCTCTTTCGTTGAGGAGGGGAGTTTGGTTGCCGCGTAAAAAAACAGGTGGGACAGATATTTATTGTTGGATATATCATAGACCTGAAACGAAGGGACCGCCGACTCCATGACGTCACAATAGATATCACTATACCATCTCCCTCCGATTGCAGCGCCCTCACCGGGATGCATAGAAAACATCCGGCATTACAAAGATTACGTTATTTACATCTACATTGTCGAGATATTCTAGCATGGAATGAATTAAACTTTTGCCGAATGTACCAAATTCTTTTTACTAATACACTAAAGAGTTCTTTGAGCAGCTTTTGAGGTATTTATCTTGTTTTTAATGTGTACAAAAAGCTATACAGTTTGAGTATTTAAGATGACAGATGATGACCATGATCACAGAGAAGCTGTCAAAATGCATGTGCGGTTGCTCAAGATGCTGCTCGATGAAAAAAAAAGTTCATATTTAAGAAACAGATAGGCCTATTGATACGTGAATTTTTTAAAGAGCAAACATTTTATGCTTAATAGCAGTGTTTGACAACGCTGATATCGCAACAGGCCCCTATGCATGACTATGGTACAGTAACACAAGTAATGAGTACCTTTGGCAAGTTTATAGCCACCCCATTTTTTTTATTATAATGTATGCAAGAAGTTCGATCCTACCAACCCACCCCCGACAGGATTTTCGAGTTTGTACGAAAAGGAGACATTTTTCCTTTTTTTTTAGCTTGTCAAACTGTTTTAGGGTTTGAAAGTTAGGCCTACCATAGCGCATAGGGCTAAAAGGGGTAAAGTTGCATTGGCGTCGGAAGCAAATTAAAAGTGGGGGGCTAAGTGTAAAAAAAACAAAATTGTACCTCCCAAAAAACCTGACAAGCAAAAAAAAAAAAAAAGGGAAATATCTATTTCCCTAACACGGAAATCCTATTTCGTGGGCGGGGGTAGGTTGGTTCGAACTCCAGTACCAAAACTTTTCTTCCATACTCCACCACTTTCCCCATTTTAACCTATACTGAGACGTATCTGTGGAAAGTGGGGGGGCTAAACTTACGAAGATATGTTCAATGTCTATACTACGTATATATTTGGAAAAAAAGGGGGGGGGGCTAAGCCCCCCCCGGTTCCGACGCCTATGAGTTGTTCCCATTTAAATATGATTCTTTTAATATAAAAAATAACATTTTCCCTAAAGTCCTACCTTACAAGGTATAGGGAGTATAATTTCATAAAAAGAAAAAAAGGATAAGATTTACAAGTGTCTGTGTGCTTTGAGCTACAGTAAGTTATTAAAACTTCTATTTAAGCAGTCGATTCAAGATCAAACACTTTGATCAGAGCCTGCATATATAAAATAATTACTTACTAGTGTTTGTTCTTCAAAGCTGCTGATAAGATTGAACATGATGCTCAGCGATTATGATTTTGCTTTTTGCAGTTGTGATTGATACATTGAAAATAAATATTTTAAAAAGACATTAAATATGCCATACATGTACATCTAAAACAGTGCTCACCAATATAAGCTCACTATAGAAAAGGAAAAGTCTAAAATTAAATATAACAATGATTTTAATAATATTTCATTACAGTCACATTAAATTACATGTATTTAATATTTATACCGGTATTGATGCAGTTTGTCTTTGAGTTATGATATACAAAAGTTAATTATAATCACATTCTGGATGAACACAGTATAGTTGAAAAAATTGGAGTTCTAAACATGATAATTAAATCATTGAAATCCAGTCATGTGCAACTCAGCCGTGCATACATGGGACACACCACTTGGCACTTTTGTTGATTTAATCCTGTGCAGGTTTGTGACCAGTCTTTGTTCTTTCACATTTAACTCATCATACCAGGTGGTACACGGCATGACCATGTTCTAAATTAAAAATATTTTCCATAGAGTTTGGTGTGCTAGGCAGACCCCTATTCTCATTTGAGAAGCGGACAGGCTATCAACACAACCTGTGGGGAAAAATGAAAAAAATAATCTCTTAGAAAATTTTTTCAACACTGACAATGTTATAATCCTGAATTAACATGATTACATAAATTACATAAATCCAACTTTTTAAAAATACATAATTATGTAGATCATTCACGGGAACATCTAATCTCAATTTATTAAGTTGTTGATCTAAAAACTGTAAACGGCACAGGTGCTTGAGGACAGGACCCCCCCCTCCCCCAATATAGACCCCCGGGACTTTTTCACATAAATATAGACCCCAGGGCCTGTTAGACTTTTTCACATTAATTATATATGGATGACACATTTGTGATATTATCTATCCTATCAATTCAGAAAATTTGATTAAACTAACCTTCTATAAAAATTTTACCCCACTCTCGTTGATTTTTATATAGAGTTTTGGGTAGATTCTAAAAAACGTTTGCTTCAGGTAATTTTTCTAATACATGTATTTGGTATAGATCTTATCACAAATAAGTCAATGAAGGATTATTTATGAGAAAAAAGCCCAGGGGTCTATATCGAAAAAGGGGGAGGGGGGTCCCGTCCTCAAGCACTTATGGTAAACAGCACTTCACAATGTATTTATTATTTATATTAATTCAGCGAACGTTGTTCAAATATTGGTAGATAAATTGTGTCCTTATTTTGTGAAATAATTAAGAAGATAAACATGACTGTACTACCGCAAAATATAATCGACAGCATTCAAAAGATGTCACGTCGTAGTCAGCTGATGTCTGCAGTTAAAACGTTTCCATCGACTCCATAGCGTAAAGTTATAACAATCGAGATCATTTCGTCGCAGAAAGCTTAGATAAGTGATACTCCTTATTCACGGATTGCGGCATCAAATTTCAAAACGAGGCTCGGAACGCAAACAAGATGGCGAGTTCCAGTACAAGTACGGGTACAGCATATCATTGTTGTGTCCCATTGTGCAACAATGATTCCCGGTATGACAACAATAGGGAAATATCTTTTCACAAATTCCCTACAGAAAAAATCAAAAGGAAAGAATGGATTATTAAAATCCGCAGGGATATAGGGCCACACTTCAGAGTAAGTACATACATACTGTATGACACGACGTTGACAAGTGTTAACTTTATTTACCTACCTCGGGTAGCTTTATTTAGCTATTTCAATGCAACTTTTCAAAGTTTTTCTTTTTATTAAAAAGAGACAAAAAGTCGCAATTCAATGAATATTAATATTCATATACTAGGGCGGGTTTTAAAAACATTTTTTCATGAATTTGTTTTCAGATAAGTTGAAAGTTGAAAATGATCACTGCATCAAATTCTGATTTTTTGCACATCCTGAGAAAATTTTTTTTATAGATATAAATTGATCTGGTAGCTAAATAAAGCTACCTCAGTTAGGTAAATAAAGATAAGTAGGTAAATACAGCTACATAGCTAAATCTAGTGATTGTACCAGACCTGATAATGAACAAACTTGGAACACATAAGAAATTATTGTTATGATTTTTTCGTAGATATCGGATGCTACCAGGGTGTGTTCAGCCCATTTTTTACAAACTGAAGTACGTCGGTCATTGAATGGTAAACGACTGCTAAAGCCAGGAAGTGTACCAAGTATATTCGCCTGGAATTCCCCGGTCAAGAGAATCAGGCCACTTAGGAGATCACTGAAAGTCATGTAAGTTGACATGGTTCTTAATTCTAGAGAATGAGTCAACATTTGTAAAAGTGTACAGATGGACTCCGACTGATTGTAATAATATTGCAATAAGGTGTTGTAAAACTGTTAAAATTTCTAGTGCCGAATATATTCATATGATGGTCTCGCAGACACCTCTGTAAAGGCGTAATGTACAAAAACATGGTAGTTCAAGGATAATTTCCAAATTGGTGCCTAGTTTTAAATGTATTTAGTATATATCAACCAACTATAAAGGACAAACATAAGTGCAAATGTATAATCATAATAAATTAAAATAAATACACAATTATTATATAAATTTTGTTTTTATCATTGTCATAAACACGGCCCGAGAGAGGTGAATGCACAAGCTGATGGCACAGAGTGAAAATGTATTTTAGAAACCTAAATTGAAACATTGATTACGGTAAAATTTGTTGACATGTATTGTAATTTTCAAGCTAAGTAAAATTAGACCTTTCATCTCGGTCTTTGTAAACTGATTTGTGGCTCGTGCATTGGTGGTAAATAGAAAGAGCAGGCAGAGGATGATTGAATAGACGTTAGTACCTCATTCCCTGAATTATTTTAAAAACATAATTTCAAGGTTTTTACCCCTCCCTGCTAATTTGTTTGTGTTGCTACCGCTACCTTAGGTTTGTAACTACATGTACATCACTGATATTGTTTTCATTTACTAAATTAGGTCACCAGCAAAGTCTGCAGAGGTCAGCATTGAGGAAGCACCTGAAGTATCGACCATTTCCGAGGACCAGACTCCACCTGTGTCAAGTGACCATGACTACATAGTCCATACTGCAGTTCACGACCAATTGGAGGCAGCCCAAGAAGAAATTGTGAACTTACAAGGAAAACTTGTGGCAGTGGAAAAGAGACTTTTTTCTTTGGAGCGATTCACTACAGATCCCCAGATGATAAACTTTTATACTGGTTTTAAAGATTATGAAACCTTAAAATGTTTATATAATGCTCTTCAGCCATCTGCAGCAACGATGATTAGATGGACACAAATGCAAAGACACTCTTCAAATACAGAGAAAATGAAGTTGAATGCTATTCGTAATGAAGCATTGCCACTCATAGATCAGTTCTTTATGTTCCTTTGTAGAGTGCGTCAGGGATTTCCAGAACAGGATTTGGCTGTTAGATTTAACATATCTCAGTCTTCAGTTAGTAGAATTTTAATAACTTGGTCTAATTATTTATATACTATGCTGGGTTGTTTACCTATTTGGCCACCTCGTTGTGTGATTGACAGTAACATGCCTACTTGTTTTAAAGAGTCATATCCCCAAGTCAGAGTCATCTTGGATTGTACAGAAATTAAAGTTCAAACCCCTAGCTCAAAAGTGTTAAATTCTGAAACTTACTCCAATTACAAGAGTCACACAACATTTAAGAGCTTGATTGGGATAACTCCATGTGGTGCTGTGTCGTTCATTAGCTCACTGTATACAGGAAGCATCAGTGATAAAGCTATAACTGCATTATCAGGAATTTTGGACCTGTTAGAACCTAACGATCAAGTAATGGCTGACAAAGGATTTTTGATAGCTGACCTATTAGACAAACATCATGCGTCTTTGATAATACCCCCTTTCCTTGGTGAAAAGGGAAAATTTTCTGCTAGTGAGGTAGCACAAACACATGAGATAGCACGGCTCCGTATTCATGTAGAGCGAGCTATAAGGAGGATAAAAGAGTATCATATATTTGATGGGGTCATACCTCTTAATTTAGCTGCATCAATTAATCAGATATGGACAGTTTGTGCAATACTGACAAATTTCAGGGGGCCTTTATTCTAGTATAGTAGTTACACCATTATCTTATATTCAATTTGTTTGATTATTTTGAAATGTGAATACAACTCTGCATTTGATACTTTCACATTCAGCATTACTGTATTAGAATGGAGATAGTGGTCATCATCAAGTATTGTACTCAATGTAACTATTGATTGTATATTAAACATTACAGCTTTTCAGTGCAAATTATGTACAAGTACATCACTTTGTATAAAACCATTTCCTATGAACATGATGAATTCAAATGAAATAAATGATAAATTTAAATATTATTATGCATGTTTTTTATTCAACCAGGAGTAGACATGTATGTTAAATTGAAATGATATTAGTTTAATATGAATGGAATAATATTTGTAACAATTCTACAAAAAGATCAAAGCGGTATTGAAACATATATATAAATGTAGTCTTAGAAGAAAAAGTTGAATTATTATAAATACAATACATGGCAGTTTCTATGGCATTGCTAAACAAAACTGTGGTACATGTACATGTATGCATTTACATTGTATTTGTTACACACAAAGCATTGTTAATTTCTTATTGTTATGTTCAATAAATTCTGAATAATATTCAGTATCAGTAACGTCAAGTAAACACATATTACTTCATTTTAAGAATTTCAGACAAGAAATAATCAAAATAAAATTTGTCCAGAGACAACTTGATTTCTTCCCACTTGTCTGCATTAAAGTTAATCCTCTCCTTATGATAATCGAGTCTACATTTCACAAAAAAGTCACACCACTGGAGTCCAGTAAGACCCACCTGCCCCATCACTTGGTAGTAGTATTGGTGAGATTGCTTCAGTTTGTAAGTCCCATCATTGGTAACTTTAAGGTATACACATTCCTGGAAAGAATCTTTGTCAGGACATTTGATCTCCAGGAGCCCATATTGTGGTGTAGAATTTGGATCAAAAATCTTTCTGTCAGGAGATGCTCCAAGGTAAGGAGAACTTGGATTAATTACAAAACCACACAAGTAGACATTATTTCCAGTAATTTCGGAATACAATTTAGCTGCAGCAGGTTCATTTTCCAAGCCATATTTCATCGCTGAAGTCTGAATGTTTTTGGTTTTCAGAAGACGCACTGCCAGTTTTTCATGATTTGCTCTCCTGACGCATATGTCTTTAAACATGGTAGAGGTAATCCTGTGGCGGCGAATTTCATGCCATAATTTAGTAGCACTCTGTGCGCGAGTCTGCTCCTCTAATTCTAGCGCATGTGTGAGATTAGTGTCCATGCCTATAAAAATGTCATACTCAGCACGGTTCAACACTCGATTATAGTGTTTGGGTTGTTCTGGTAGTGAAAATTCTGGAAAACTTGGCTGTTCATTGTTATTTATAATGTCACCAATATCAGTCAGCTGTTTCTGTTGGTAAGAAAGTATTGAACCTTTTGGTACTGGTCCAAACTTGGATGAAGATTCAATGACATCTGAAGGTGATAATAAGCGTACAATCTGAGCATCACTTTTCAGTGTTGTTAGATTCTCGAGCAATGTGCTTCTGAATTGTTCACTTGGAACTGTCTGAACTGGACAGTACAGGTTTTGGTAACACTCCCTCAGTTACTCGCCTTTTTTTCTTTGGTGGTTCCTTTTTAGGGTTCACCTGTTAAATTATTAAAGAAAAATTTCACATTTACCAATATACAACGTGTAATATTTAAACATTTGTTAAAGAACACTGTTACCCTCTCAACGATGAAACCATGTTCTTTAGCATGAATAAATGTCACAATTAACATTGCTTGGCAAAAGTGATACAAGAAAATATGTCTACTGCAGAATTTATGTCTGTATAGCTTTATACTGCTATATGTTTTACCCCCATGATAACCATTCAATTTATAGCAAAGCCAGGCACTGCCTTGTTTGCCAAGAGATTTCTTTGGTGAATATTAATTGAATGTTATCTTAACTACATGAAATATTTTTAGAATCTAAAATAAAAAAAAAATATTTTTTCTTTATTCAAAAATACCTTGCAAATTTCCAAACTATGTACAGGCTTTGGTTCCAAACCCTCTATTCTCTGGGGAATATGCCAGGTCTGTGGTAAAGATGTTTTACTCTGTATTGGGGGTACAGCCTTCAATCCGAGTCTTAAAGCATAAAAATAACTATTTTCATTGGTTATAGATGCAATTACAGATTTCTTTAAGATCTTTATTTTGTTATTTGTATTTTGATTTCAAAATAAAATAAGAAATGATAGTTGTCATTATAACTGTTACATTATGAAACCTATTTCAACATGTGCGAAATTTGCATATTTGATACCTTTGGTAGTGACATAAAAGGTATAATAATCCTATGCTATGACTGCAGTGCCCATTTCCAGCTTTACACTCACACTGTGACAGCAAAATGTCTGAGGATGTTTTACACAACTCTACCTATAAAAGAAAAGATTTTTTCAACTGATTTGAAAGAAAAAGTCTACTAAAAACAACAAAATTTATAAAACACAGATATAAATTATACACTAATACAGTAGAATATATCAATTAAACCTTGCTGTGTAAACATTGATTATTATTAATAAGTACAAAGTTCAGTTCATGTTCCTTAAATAAAATTATACACAAGTTACAACAAATTATATACCGGTATTCATATTATTCAATCTCCCATCTGACATTCAAGAAAACTCAAATATCATACATTATTATGCTTCCTGTCAGTTTGACTCTGTAACACATACCCAACCATTATCAAATAGTGTTCTGAGGATTTAAATAGCGTATACAGACTATGCCAAAATAGTGCCAGCTTCCATTTTGCCTCCGGCTCATGCAACATGTGTCAAACCCTATTTAGGCATAGTGCACGCAAAACGCAACACAATTATTTAATAATACATGTAATTGTTTTCATTAAATTAGAATAAAACAACTGATGTACAAAATTTTAAAAAACTTAAATACAAACAAAAATCACAATTTAAATGAGAACTGGCATTGAAACTGGTGCCATGTAAAAATTATGCAAATGCAATGATTCTTAGTCTCAATAGACCACACTATGTTCTTTATTAATTAATTGGATCCCCCCTAGTTCTGGTGATTATTTTTCAAAATATTAACATAACTCTCTCAAATTTAAATTATTCATAAAAAGAAGATAATATATATGCAAAAGAAAAAATAATAATAAAGCAATTCAAAAATAAAAGAACCAACCAACAAACTAACAATAAATAACATTTAAACTTCTGAACTAGCCAACCATCAGTTTATATGGTGGGTTATTTTTTTTCATGGAAGGAAAGGCCTTGGCCCTGACACGAACAGCATCCTTGCATGTTTGTACTACAGACAAGAGACAACAGTATTATAAAAACTGAAGTCAAGATTAATGTTCAACCAAAATAAATATAATGCATTTCATGTTTACACCATAAGCATTTCAGCGGTAAACCAGCTTGAAGGATTCTCGAGAAAATTCGGGCAATGTCAGTATATACCCAGTTGATTAAATGTACGTCACTTTTACTTCATATTATTCTTTAAACATTACCGATAAATAACAGTACAGGTTTAAATTTATCACCTTAGTTGAATTATGCATTTAAATAAATATCACCCAACCAATATTTGTTATATCATCGTGCTTGTAAACACATTCAATCTCGAGCAAGCACTTACTTTCGACCTCATGTATATATCCTTCTAAGAAGTTCCCGTACCCCTTCTGCTGTTTTGACCTTGGGATTTTAGCCGTGTCGTTGGCCCACTTCTCCACCTTGTCCTGGGTGAGAGGGGGGACGTACTGGAGGTTTTTACTCCAAGCGCCAGGAGACTCATTCGACTTAGAGCACGCTGCCATGTTTGCGTTCCTAGCCTCGCTTTGGATTCAAAATGGCCGCGGTGTGAATAACAAGCATTGATTTACCTAATTTGTTGTTATTTCCTAAAAGAATGCAGAAATCAGTGATGCGACAACATTGATTTCATAACCAAATTAAAGTAAAGGTGTAATTTTTTTAAACAAAAAAATCGGACCAAAAAAAATTCAGTGAATGTGAGACTTTTCCGACAACGGAAGAGATATATTGACCTCTAATAAATACGGTAAACATGAATCTGATCATTACATGTCGGCAATCTAAATGACACATTGATTTTTTTCCCTTATTATAACTTTAAAAAAACATTAAGTTTTTAGAGAATGTTTGTACAATCAAGAAAATCTTTTAATTTTTATAAAGACCACGACGTTTATTTCGTTTTCAAGTACCCTATAATTGAAAGTAGATTTGTAAATATACACAGTTGAGCTTGATAAAATCATAAAAGGCATCATTGCTTAACATTTCTAACATTCATTACATTAAATTAATATCAAAAGACATCAATATCGTTCATTTATTTATGCACGTTTTTATACATAAACAAACTGTCCCACCTCCATGCTGAAATGGATACTTTTTGCGCCTCTATCGCAGGAGAGTTACAATCTCGAAACTCGCGTATTTGGGTAATATTGCTATCTGTAGCTAAATATAAACATGGAAATACATTTACGTAACGTTTATTTAGAAAATAATTGTAGATTTCTTGGTTTTATATTTTCATTATATGAAATCACCGAATCCTGTAGTTTCTAGGTCCATTTCTACAAATGAAGAAAAAGTAGAAACCAGAGTGTTCGTTGTCCGTTTTGAGGGGTTGCTGGTAACGGAATTTCTTGCATTTCTTCACTAAACTGAACCTCTTCTTTATTTAGTGAAAAACCTGATTTATATGTTGTTCCTTTCCTTAATTTCTCCATTACTTGCAAAGAATACCGATTTTCCTCTGCTTTTAGTCGCTTCCTTTTTGCCTGGATAGTCCCCTGTTTCACTTTTTTTTACCAGTTTGTGATACTATTCTTTAGCATGTGAGAGATTGCACGTTTTATTGACCTTAATAAATAAATAAAAAATATGACATGCACATAGTTCTAATAACAAGGATTGCTTACCCCCACCCCTTCAAAATTAAACGAAAAGGGTACTTTATTATTCTACCTCTAAAAGATACTGGTGAACCTCATTTTTCTGTGCTTTAGATGCAGAAAGGCGATAAGCTAGACTTTCTGACCCGGACTAATGCTGTAATTTTGGAGTCTTCTTCGCAATCTCATGGTTGAGATTCTCATTCACATTCGAAGACTCCATATCTGAGAATTTGTCAGCATTAGTATTGCATATTTAGCAAAAAAGTCTACTACCCATTTCAGTCCATTCCCACACAGTGTGATTCGTTTTTTTTTTTACCCCGACTTCGACCGCTTGTTTCAAGCAAAACAGACTGAAATGAAGTAGCTGCCCGCTATGAATCAGAGATTTTGAATTAATTGGTTGTTGTTTAGCGTCCCTCTCGAGAACT